AATAATAAGTTCAGAAGCTCTTACTTTTAGATGTATTCGATTGACATGTCTTTTTAAAGTACGATTTATTTTCGCACTGTATGTACAGTCTTTGTAGTTGCATTTGAATGGTCTTTCTTCAGAATGTATTTTTTTGTGAACTAATAAATTTCCATAATTGGCGAATTTTTTTTTGCAAATATTGCATTCAAACGGTTTCTCACCAGTATGAACCCTCATGTGAGAATCTAACTCCGATTTTGTACGAAATTTCTGTTTACATTCAGTACATTTATGTTTCTTTGTTTCATCCTTTAAAAAGTATTCTTTGTGTAAATTATTATATATTATTAAGATTCGATTTATTTTCTCAAAAATATTTTTATGTCTAATCAAAATAGTAAAATATACGTATTTTTTCGATATGAATTAAAATTTCAATTTTTTTATTTTTTACAATTAGGGACAACAAGGGTCACCAAATAACAATGCCATACAAACCGCATTGAACGTTTCACTTACTTTTTCTGGTTGCATTTATAGAATTAATGGTCCAAATTTTAAATTCACTTTGTAAATTTTGAAAAGTTAAAACCAAGAATGCACTACAATAATGTGAAATTTAGCCATTGTTCTTTCAGATTGTCATATTGTGACTATAGTTTAGCATGAAAATTGTAACAAAAAGAATTTAACATTATTTCTTTTCAAATGTAAAGTGCATAACTAAAAAAACTTTTTCAGGGTACAGTTTCTGAACGAATTTCCTAAATTGTTATTTGAATACTTTTAAAAATCTGAAACGTACAAATTAAATAAAAAGAGTTTTATTTAAATGTTAAATGGAAAACATTGAATGCGCTCTAAATCAGTGTTTCTCAACGTTTTTGGTCTGCGACTACCCTTTTACATTTAAAAATTTCAAAGGACCCTTTAACGAAGGTGTATGTGTAGAAAAACATTTCGAAGGGGGGAATTAATTTAAATTCAAAAGGAGTTCATTTCTTTTGTTTAATTGCATTGAAACACTCATAATTTTAATAACAGATTTATTTTTAGTATCATTAAAAATTAATAATTTATCTTCGGTACATCTTTAAAATATTTTATGTATATGTTTCGACATTAGTAATCTCAATTAGTTAAGTTAAACATATTTTAAATTAAATTTAATGTGATGGGTGAGCCTGCTTGTTTTGGCACAATAAATTAAACATGGTTTTAATATTAGTCAGTAAAAATTTAAAAGCGATTTCTATGTTTCAAAGACGGGAGCGCTGCTTTGTTTTAATGTTGTCCATTGCTGAAAATGCCATTTCGCATAAATAACTGGTTGCAAATGGTAAGAGCCATTGTTATTTCATGGAGGAGTGGATACTCTGCTTTCACACTAAGCCAAAAAGTTTCTACTATTTCTAAACATGAATCCAAACTAAATTTATAAAATATTTGAAAACAAATTGATCTGTCATTAATTTTTCTGCAAACACCCANAGAAAAAAATTAAAATAAAATGTTTAATTTAAAAGGCCCAAAAAGTACTCTTTGAGAGAGAGAGAGTTCACATAATATTTCACATAGCGATAAATATCTTTTGTAGCGTCCCGTTTATAGAAGCCCCCGTATAGTCTCGTTGGTAAATAGTTGAGTATTCAGTAGTTCGTATATAAAGGCTTTAGTCGCAAAATGTTCAGGGGCGAAATATCCAGTCAGGTAGGATCGTGCACTAACACAATTAAAAATTTGGAAAAAGTTGGGTGCTGACTTTACTCCAGAAAGAACGGGCAACTACTCGCTCTTCGGCTGACAACGTTGATATCAGTTCGAATTCAACTGGAGAAAAGGTCAGCAGATCAGGGGAATGCGTCGCTTTCGTCGTCGGGAAAGTCTAAGTAAAAATTTTCTCAGATAGATGAGGATAATAATTATGCAAGTATGCGTCATCGACGATTAATTTAAATTTTTGTAAACTACGGATTTTCACGCTGTGTCAAATCTTAATAAGAAACTAATCATAGTGGAAAAATAAGCAAAATATTCGTTTCTTGTTTAAGTTGTTGTTACTTTCGTTTAGTTATTCTTATTTTGAGTGGTTTCATTTTCGCGTTATCTAATGACCTACTGTGAGTCCATGTTCTTCACTTTACTCAAAAATGAACTTGTATCTACTGTTAAAATAAGTTATAAATCTGCTACACACATTCAATTCTGTAAACGTAAATTTATTCAATTAAAGCTATTACCTAATTTCAAATAATAAATTTTCAAATTTTGTTTCGTACAAAAAGTATCGTTTTGCAAATGTAAATCAATTTTATGAAATAATTACTACAATACATTAATTAATATGGAAAATTTCTAATGTTATTTCATTTAACAGTGCTGTAACTAATATTGTTTTACTAATGTTTAATTTTCATCAGTCGCAGACCAATGTAGAAAAAAGTTAATAATTTTTACGACTTTTTTAACTTGTATTGTTTTAAAGTTAAATGCCCAGAATTAATTAGATTGGTGAAATTGTTTCTCGTGTTCTTTTAAAGAAATTTCGTCAGAAAATTGTTGTCCACAAAGTTGACATTCGAATTTATCTTCATCGGTTTCCATCTCTGTGAATAATTCCAGTTGTGAGGATGTCTCAAGCTTTCTAATTTCTAAATCGATGTTAAAATCTTTAAGAAATTCTTTAGCTTCTCTTGCTGTAAAAATAATCTCTTCTGAAGCCACATGTTCAGATTCAATTGATCCTCTTGCTTCAGAACTTGTTGATGGTGTCTGAAACAAATCTGATCGCACTTCTTGGCCATGTTCTGTGCCTTTCTAAAAGTAAATATCATAAATATAATGTAGGAGTTCAATTCAATAAATAAAAATATATAAAATATCATGTAAATTGAAATAGTTTAAATGTAATTCACATCACATTTAAACTTCTTTATTATTTAAAATTATCATAATTTTTATAACATTTTTTGTCAGAAGAACATTATTATGCCGAACAGAATGCGATTATTAAATAAACTAGCGTGAATAAGCATATATTTAGAAGTAATTATTACGAGTAAATTTATTTAAAATGTTTTTTAAAAGTAGATTTTCTTCGAATACCAATAGATGTAGACAATTAACTCGATAATATTGAAATTTTATCCTTTTAATGTTAATGAGAACTTAATTCATTGTCAAATCTTACCCGTATTTAAGACGCAGATAGCAGTCGATCCCCCTATAACACTGTTGATTTTTCCGTTTTATGTAAATTCCATGTTGTCCGAGTCACTTAGATTTTACAAATACGTGAGCCGTTCACAGCCCGGCACACGTATTTGTAAAATCTAAGTGACTCGTACAACATGGAATTCATATAAAATGGAAAAATCAACAGTGTTATAGGGGGTTGACTTGTATTTGATTACTGATATTTATTGTTGTTCGATATTTGGCATTGGTTATAATATAGATCTTTGGAATAAACTTTTCTAAATTTTAAGAAGTTATAATTATTACTTATCATGTATATGTATTTAGATATATCCAGCGCTATCATTTATGCAAATTAGGGAACCTCCCAACAAGCCAGCCATAAAGGGACAAAAATTTCAACATATAACTTATTTTCACTTCACTAAAATATTAAATTAAATAGTGATATATGATTTATGTGTCCATTGTTTTTTCTTATATTTCACAAATCAAACTATTTTACTATTTATTTAAATGTTGGGTGTTTTTTTACCTAAATGATTTAAACATATTAGCGATTTAAAATTTATATAAGATAAATATCTTGAAATTTATAAAATATTAAATTTAGGTATTTTATACTGTTTTCCTAAATAAAATATAAAAGAAAATTTTCAAATTAATTAAAAAAAATGTAATGTACGTTTTTTATCGTACAAATTGTTTCTGTATGATATGTGAAGACCCAACCGAGGTCCGAATCATGTAAATCGCGATATTCCTATGATTAAATAATAACGATAGATTAATTATGAGAGGGAGAGGAAAATTCCATAATTTAAACAACGCGGCACAAAATGTAGACAACGAGTCTCGGATGACTCGAAAACGTGTTAAACTAACTGTCAATGTCAGAATGAAAAGTTATAAGTCAGAGTCAAGTGGTCATATGTAGGTAAAACTTTGACCCCAGCGCTCATAAACAGTCAATCTAGGGAAACAATTTCGGAAAAGAGGAAAAGATTTAAGAGAGATAAATTATTGCATATGATCGTTCGAGTACCCAGATGACAGAAATCGCGAGTAACGGAGCTAAATTATGAGCGCGAGTCTTGCAATATTGTCAACAATCGACAGAACGGCGTCGAGCAGACACCTGGAATCGGACCTTTCTCGTGACCTGAGGCGGTCTCAGTTTATCCCAAAACAAAAGAGAGACCAATCGGGAAGCGAGAAAGGGGATGAAGGGCCAATCGGAAGTCCGAATAGTGGAAGAGAAAAACTATAAAAATCCGAAATCCGAGGTCAGGGGGGCTCTCCTCCGACTCCACGAAAGGTAGTGACTTCTATTGTGGTGTGTCGTCGCAAAGGAACTGTGGACTCCGCCGCTTATATCTTCCGATCGTCCGCCGTGATCAGCAACAGCATCTCGTCCGCCCCGGGGCTACGACCGACGCCGAAGTTCTCACACTCCGCATCTTCGAGGGAAGAATCTAGTGAAGGACTGTCGATTGCCGATGTAAGCATATATGTTAACAAATAAACGGCTTTCTTGTGTAAAACACTTGTCGTCATTTGCCTCCTCCGTCACCGCCCACATACAACCTTCCCTTAGGTCCATCCTGACGCGGGATTAATAGATCCCATTAATAGGAGACGGCAACCTTACACAGGTGCCGTGAAGTGGGTTTCAAGCCCCCTATCTCCCCCGGATCGGCCATCTTACAGATATGTTCTCTGTAGCAATTTTGTTCTTAATTGCAAAGAAGAAGTAACAAACAAAACAACAATAAGCAATTAAGCGCAAAATCTAAAAAATTTCAGAAATTAAACAGAAATTGTTTTTGTAAAAAGAAAACTTATGAAGAGAAAAATATATTTCGAAACAATTATTACGATTAAACTTATTACAAATAATTGTAATAAGTAAATTTAACCTGACGGCAGCTGGTTATCGAATGAATGAAAGTACTAACTTACTATAATTACTTCTTGTTTTCTATTACTACTTTACTTTAAATAAACAATGTAGTGTTATTTAATAAATAAAAGATTACAGAATAAAATTATTTACAGTAATAACGTAATAAAGTCACCTAAAAGAATCTGAGAAGCAATTTAAAAACTTTTTTACAAGTTGCACAACTTTTTTGCATTATAATAATCAAGTAATTTTTAAAAAGTGAATTTCAGAAAATTGTTTTACGTACTTTGGAAGAAGATGCGATTTTTTCCTGTGAATGTACTTTCTTCATGTGTCTATTTAGTTCATATATATGTTTGTACACTTTCTTACAAATATCACATGAATACGGTCCGTATTTTCTGTGCGTTGTTTGATGTACTCTAAAAGTGGATAACCATCGAAAACTTTTATTGCATTTATCACATTTATGATCTTCTTTCGATTTTTTCCGGGGAATCTAAGTATTGAATAAACTATTAATTAGTAATTGCTATTTATTACACATAAAAATGAAATATGAATAATTTAAAATTGAAGTTAAATGTTAATATATTTCGTAAATTT